GTTTCGCTGATTAAAGACTCCAGCTGCAGGTGGGCTCCCCTCCACAGCAGTGAAGTGAGCGTCTCAGCTCCATCACTATGCTTCCTCTGAGAGAACTGGTGCATCATGGGTGTGTTAGAGGAGAGCTGCTCACATTAATGCAGGCTAAAGTTCCTGGACGGCCTCATGTGTGTTAGGTCTTCTCTTATACTGAGAAGTCAATTAAACAGTTAGCCTAGCTAGTTTTTAAATTAGACTTGTATATAAGATTTGTCTTAAGATCTTTTACAGTTGATTACAGGACATTTACTTAATGGAACGTGCAATTACCTGTAAATCTCAGAGCTCCAAGTGTTACAGTTATTCAGCTAATTAATTAGATCAACTACGTACCTAAAAGCTCAGGTGAACCAGGAGACGGCAGTCCCTAAAGGAGCTACTTGAGAGTCCTTACTTAATACTTAATAGTGGCAATAGCCGCAATAGTGGCTTAGAGATGAGGGAGTCCATTAAGCTGTGTCTTTGCTTGGAAGCCTGCTCTTCCTCTTTGGAAAAAGGTACAAAAGAACAACTTCCAGTGTATCTGGGGAATAATGTGGCTCATGAAAACAAACTCAGCTGTGAAGGGTTGTTGCTGTGAGGTGGTGTAGGCTGATCACAGAGCCCTTCCATATTGAAATGCACAGCCTTTCCCTCAAGACTGTACAGTACGTGCGTGAATGGTACAATACCAGGCACAAGACCGAGCAGACACAAACACAGCAGCACAGGTTCCTCATGCAGACTTTGTGCAAGAGGCAGACGATGCTTACAGACAGGAAGCAGCAGTGCGGCAGGAAAACCGAACGCTCTCACTGTCTTCATGCACTCTGCAAGATGTTTCCACCCTGGGGGGGTTGTTTCCAGTAGATAGTAGTACAGATCCTGCTGAGCACTCTGATCTCCCGGTCGCTGTGGTCCGACTGCTGCACTTTGAGATGACAGGACTCTGCTCTCTGGTCTGGTTAATAAATGACTGGTTTCCACAGCCGGACTGCTGACAGTTCCCTTTTTATCTTCTCTGAAACTGGTGTCATAAAATGGGTCAGTCCCACTGTGGGGAAATGACACTACCAGCCTGTGGAGAAACAGATCAAGTTCCATGGCAGCCATATCCTCTGTTCCAGCACCTCAGGTGTTGCAAGTCCCTCAGCAAACCGGACTGAGAAAGATGCTCTGTTTTCCGAAATGTTCCGCACCTGGTGCTGGGTTAGACGAGAGGCGGTAGCTGGTAAAAGCCGAAGTGGCTCGGACTGCTCTGCCATGGGATCTGCTGTCTGCCTCTCGGGCCGGGGGTGCTGTCTGCTCCTCTCACTCTCTGATGGTTGCTCCGCAGATTTGGAAGAAGAGGGCGCAGTTTCTGAAGTTTCGCTCCAGGGTACGGTACGGTACAGCACAGGCTGTTGAGGCATGGTCTCACGTCGTCATGTTGGAATGTCATCACGCTGCAATGGTTACTGCTCTGATGTCAGCGAGACTTTGGAGTGACACTAAAATGGTTCCGGTCTGATGTCATCACACTAAAAGGGTACTGGTCTGATGTCATCACACCAGAATGGTTCTGATCTGATGTCATCACGCTAAAATAGTATTGGTCTGATGTCTTCATGCTAGAATGGTTACTGCTCTGATGTGATCACACTAAAATGGTACTGCTCTGATGTCATCACATCGAAATGGTTCTGGTCTGATGTCATCA